GGCTAACTAGAGCCGAGGTCTCTAGTTGAGCCGACGACGCCCTCTAGTTAAGCCGACCCCTCAGGTTCGAGTGGTCTAAAGGCTCCAGACGGAAAGGGAACTCCCCCGTGGGGAGATGCCATCCGCCTGGAATAACTCTAGGGGCACTCGCCAATTCTCGGCTTGAGGTCCCCTTAGGATCTCGCTGTCCCCAAACCCGGTGACGCTGTAAAGGTCATCTGCGATCAACATATACACAATAAATAAGCGTTCCAGGGTACATACGTGTAGGTAGTCGGTTACACATATTCTGGAACGCCATGTTAGTACTTGTAGCTACATGTACTAACTACGAGTAGTTATGAGTATGAACATTAGAGGTGGCGTTAATGGTTGAAAAAAGCTTATTAGTTAATAGTTGAATAAAAATAGCAGATAATTTTAATGGTTGAAAATATCAGTTTTAATATTTTTATTAAAATTATCTGAATGTTTTTCACAAGTTCATTTTGTCAATATTTTTGTTAGTTCGGTCTGTGATTGAAATTATGCATTACGATAAATTTATCAGTCAGCTATATTTATCTTTAGGAATGAATATTACTGCCGCGTTAAATTCATCATGAATTAAATGAATATTTTTATTCGATACCAGCGGCCGCCCGCGACTTCGCACGCGTGCAGTTAGTTATTTGCACATACTTTTAGGCGTCGATGTCGAGGCGAGTCTGCGGCTGCCCGCGCCGCGTACACAAAGCACACGACGGGCAGAGGCAGTCAGTTCAGGACGTTCGTTCTAGTGAATAGTCCATCACTAAAGCGCGCGGCGCGGACTGAGCTGACCGCCCCGCGCCGCCGTCTGCGTTACTGCATATAAACTGGGTTGTATGATCCACAGTGGGCAGCCGCGGACATGCCGCGCCGCCACTGCCCGCCGGGCACCTGCGGCGCGTTTTTTTTTGCCCTCTGTGTGCGTTTGTAGTATAGGATTCACTTTGTGCTATTATTCGCGTCGAAATTGACCGGCCCGCCCCGCCCCGTCGTCTGCAAAGCGCCTTAGACCCCTGTTCACTGCGCGTTCCCCGTAGGTGATAGCGTGATAATATGTAGCCTTTATGTTGACCCGACTTCTTAATAATATTCGTGCCATTGAAGTAAATCCATACAGTACTTTTTGAGTTTATCCCGGACATACATACAGACAAACAGACAAAAATTCTAAAAACTGTATTTTTGGTTTCGGTATCGATTGTAGATCACACCGCAAGTATTCTTTTAAAAAAATATTCAATGTACAGTTTTGACTTTCCTACCATTTTATTATATGTATAGATGGTTAGAAATATTTATAGAATATATGTGTTATTTCTCTCTTTTTATAAGTTTAATTTAACGGTTGATAAATAAATATATTCAATAACACTAATGGACATGACTTTCTAAGGCAAGCGTAACATAACCGACTTCTCATACCCCGGAATGCGCTATCCGTTCGTCGGTTCAGTTCATATGACATGTAAACATGACAAAATACAAAAGAAGTGTAGTGTTAGTTAATTGCATTTCTTCAAGTAAGTACCTGCCATCATATAGCACTATGAAAAGGAGGTGCGGGCACGATACGAAAGATCCGGCACGGTCTAATATGAATCACCTTTAAATCGATAATTTAAATGCTTGCGCGTTCACGGCAAAAACATCGCCATTCCTACCACTTCCCTCTCTTCAGGTCACAACACTGGCGCTACAGAGCAACATTACCATGCTCGGTATGGAAGTTCGCTCAGACTTGAATCCAGGACTACCTACATCGAAACCGTGATCAAAACAGCTTCACACAAACTCGGAGTCCTGAACAAAGTGCGGCGTTTTTTCACGCCCGATCAACTGTGCTTGTTGTACAAAACGCAAGTGCGGTCCTGCGTGGAATATTACTCGCAGCTCTGGGATGGCTCCGCTAAGTACTTACTCGATGCTTTGGATAGGCGCGCGATCCGCATCATAGGCGATGAGGAGGTGACTAAACACCTTGAGCCTCTTCAATTACGCCGTGACGTGGCGTCACTAAGCGCGTTCTATCGTCTGTACCACGGGGAGTGTTCTGAGGAGTTATTCTCTCTTATTCCACCTTCCCCTTTCCTTCAGAGGATCACGCGCGCTGGCCTACGTTGTCACCGTCTAACTGTGGCCACAATTCTAACGCGTACAAAGAAATTTGGTGACTCATTTCTTTGTGGCAAATGGAATGCTCTGCCCGCTTACATGTTCCCTCCCTCTTACAACCTGGGATCCTTTAAAAGAGAAGAGTAGTAGAGAAATTAAAGTAACACTAATTAAATTATTTTTATGCATTTAACTGCTACATAATTACATCTAAAAAAAATACTAGAATGATATCCTTACAGCCTAAGAAATACTAGAGACAGTTCGACACGGCTGCGGTAGTATAATGGTCAGTTCATTTTCCAGGATAGCGAAGGGTGCGGTACCCCTAGCACGAACCATTATCGAATTCGAATAGTTTGGAAACCGAAATGTCAATGTCAATTTTTTTATGGAAACTTGAACAGCAGCGGCACAAAGTACGTAACGAGAACTTAAAATCAGTACACATTTGACAATGACATTTCGGGCTCGCAAACGATACGAATTCTTGGGTACTGGTTCGAGTCCCGTCTGCTGCCTGGTCCGCGTGCAATTTTTTCTAGTAAAATTTTCTTCAGATTTAAATAGAGTTAAATTGGCGACTGCTTTTGCTGCAATTATACAGACACAGGTTTAATTAATCTCAAAAGCTATCTTAAGGCTTTAGTTAAGTCATTTACCAATGTATAGTCAATTCTTAAAAGACATTGGACTTGTGTTTAATATCTCCTATTGAAGGTTAGGTATGAGGTGAATATCAAAGTTTAGGCACGATGAACTTAGTGACTGCAGTAGCGACCTTTCTCGAAGCGCGATCGCTTTAGAATTTCCATTATAAGGTATACTGTACCCTTAGCACGAACCAATATCCAATTCGTAAACTATATATAAATTATTCTAATTAGGGGACGGTACCCCTAGCACGAACCAATATCGAATTCGTATCGTTTGCGAGTACGAAATGTCATTGTCAAATGTGTACTGATTTTTAGATCTCGTAACGTACTTTGTGGCGCTGCTGTTCAAGTTTCCATACAGACAATGACATTTCGGACTCGCAAGCTATTCGAATTCGATAATGGTTTGTGAAAATGGGTACTGTTTCAAAGTTCATGGTCACTAAACATTATACTTAGTTATTGACCATGTACCACCTTCATGCTTCTTGCAATATAAAGTTTTTCTCATGGCATTCAGGTTGTAATAAGTAAATTAGAGACATAACTTTAAACCTAACTATAGAGTAGAAACACAAAATAGAAAAGCATCCAGAAGGAATATTGATTTTGACATATCTTGTGTCGCTAGTCGCAAATAAATTCTGCTCGAAAATGCATGAGAATGCCTGCATTCAAAACGTCAATGTTCAAGTGGCAGAATTGACTGATTCTGAGCAGACTTTTTTTTACCTGAGCTATCGGTTACGGTCTTTGTGGTAGGTAGGATCATCATCGACGATAAAACGTATACATGGAGCAATCAAACCTCCCTCCCACACTTCGTGGAAAGTGCTCATACGCTATGCATAATTTATAAACCATTGAAAAAATTTCAATTGAGTTTAATACTACCCTACTATTAGGTACAAGTGCACTCGCGCAGTTAATGAAAACCCGGTAATTACAGCCAAGGCCCGTTAGTGGGTACAAATTGACATAGATTGAATCTTTATTTACGCAATAAAGATTCAATTTATAATTTTTATTATTTTTAAAGCATGTAACTGCTTGATGTTTAAATCTAAAGAAAATATAACTAGAAAAAATTCCACGCGGACCAGGCAGCAGACGGGACTCGAACGGGATTCAATTTATGTCAATTTGTACCCAGTAACTTATTAAAATAGTCTGTCGTAATGCAAGCTGACTAAAATATTGAGCTGAGGTCGACCGTACCTAGTTAAGTATTCTACTGAACTCAAATCAAAGTCACCGTGACTCGCTTTCAATTTTAATACGAATGACCGTCGAACGACCGAATATTACTGCATCAGTAAGGGCCACTTGACCGAAGGTCTTAAACATAGATTAATAATCTATACTTTGATATGAAATTTAAATCATTTGATGTTCAAACATCATTGTATCTTCATCTGAGATCTTCATTGACTTTAAACAGTTGACAAAGATAGAATTGTTTTTAACTGATTCAGCGAATATTAGCGCAATTAGCCCTTAATGTTTGAGACCGCCATAAAGATAGTAAAGCAGTCGGACATATCAATTTATGAACGTCAGTTTACGTTGAAATGTAGGCAACGAATATGTTTTGTACTTATGTAGGTTATCACAAAAAAATTCAATGTGCTGAGTCATACTACCTAAACAAAAGCAAGGTGTCAGAGATTTAACAGCGTTTCAGTATTCGTAAAATTGCTTCAAATTCTTAATTACGTCGTTACGTAAATAAATCAATTAACTAACGTTAAGTAATAGGTTATTAATCCTATTTGTCTACCTCAGATTTTGATGTTTTAGAACGTAATATTCACAACGTAAAAGAAGAGACGTAAGAACATAAGTTTATACCTACGGTAACAAATAAACTGATTTAATCGAAACACTAGATTTATTGCACCAAGCAAAGCATTTATGTAAATACTTAGTAAGATAGGTACAAAACTTTAGAATAACCCGGAAATTTCGTTTGTTTAAATCTAAGGTGTAGTATGTATTTGTTAGTAATGTTATTCAAATTATGTAAAACGATTTCCGATTCATGCAGCGCAACGTATGCGGTGATGTAGCGACATGCAACTGAAAACGCATACGAACCAGACCTGTCTGATCGTGATTGAATCTCCTCGAATACATTGATCGGTTGATTTGACCATCGCAAGTGTCTGTGTAAGCTTATGTAATATCCGGTCCACTCACGATTGTATCGGGCTCTGTGTCATGTGTGGGCGATAGCACGTTTAACGCCGTGCGACGGAAACGTATGCACGCGGCGAACACTGGGGCGCAACTGGCGAGCGGCTGAGACAGGGCGACGCGACGCTTCGTATTCCCACTCCCCACCTCTCTACCAATCGCGCCGCCGCAAAAAGGTTAGTTGGCGCCCAACGTGGAGCCAATCGCTGTTATGGCAATGTTTGTGGATTAGATCAATTAAGAACTTGATTAAACCAAAACTCCAAGGCAAATTAGTTTGCGCGACACGATAAACAATCCGAGAACCGAGCTAGATTTTTGAATAATTATTGTAAAGTAGGTTCTAAACGAAATAACCTATGATGTAATAAATATATTAAATACATACTTGTAACATGCCTGATTTATCAAAACTATAATTACATATAATATTCAATATTATATAGTACAGTGACATTCAAAATAAAAAAGGTTCAAACACGTAATGCGCAGCCGATAAAGAAAAAATATCACACCTACACTGTCAGGAACGAATCCGTTAAGTTTCTGTAACCTTAAGACATTTCTGACAACAATTATGTGCGAGATTCCATTTTCCCCATACATACTTAAATACTTTATTTCAACGCCTCCCTTTTATTTTCGTGGCAAATTATATCTTCTTCTTCTTCAACTTTAAACTCCGTATCACAGGTAGAAACTCTGAAACTCTGCTAGTAGTTTCACTAGTAGGCAGATGTGGTGCAACAGTATTTGTTAATGTTGCGTACCCAAAGGATAAAAACGGAACCCTATTACTAAGACTCCACTATCCGTCTGTCTGTCGCCCGGTGAAGTCCCTCAACGGGGATCTCGCAGTTCCGCATTTAACAGCGTAGAGGGTATTCGCAGGGTTTTTAGCGGATAGTATGCCGCAAGCGGACTTCGCGGACTGCTTAACGGATTTTCCGTTGCGCAACCGTGAGACTTGCGAGAGGTTAGGTGTAAGGTCCGTTCGTTGGTAATCAAAATCATTTATTCAGTTTAGGCTGTTACAAGCACTCATGAATGTCTAGAAGCTACGCCATCGGTTCGCAAATCTACGGCGGGAGACCTTGTACTGAGAAGAACCGGCAAGAAACTCAGCAAGGGCTGTTTTTTTCTCCTTGTTTTATTATTTATGGTGTGCCCCTTAAGGGCGCCAACGTCTGTAAATAGAGGTTAATCATGCGTAATAAAAAACGGGGCTAAATCCCATGAACCATGATAGCTAGACAGTTGAAAATGATCGTTACTACTTGACCAGACCGCATAACAGATAAATAATGAACAGTGGATAAATGTTTCACTTTACCCATATCAATGTAACTTAACGTAAACGTAATGTAAATTGCACTACCTCTTCCTCTCTTTCACTCTGGCTATATGTCTGATCCCTTGGTCTTTCAATCTTCACGACTCTAGAACAGCCTCTCTGACTCCGTTAGGTCACAAAATGGGTACATTTTTAAGAAGACAGTTCATGAACTTCTCGTAGTAAGCCAAGATCGTTAATCTTAACTCGCAAATTTTCTTCGCAGGCTCATCGTCAATAATTTAACTATGTTAAAATAATTGTGTTGTTTAAATTATAAATATTATTATATTTAAATGTATTCTTTGCATGTATGTTTAGGTATTTTAAATAAATATCTATGAATTTACTTTTATTGGTGTATGTTTATAGTAAATCACTTCTTTTTTATTATAGCCGCATTGTTTGAGGTTGACTGGCACAGAATACTTTTAGCTTTAAGTCCGCCTTTTGTCATTTTTTGTAATTTTGGCAATAAAGTTTAAATAAATAAATGTAGCGAAACGGCCAAGCCACATATTTTGACTAAGGTGTAGTTTGTGAAGTAAGGCCTTGTAGTTAGAAGCTTTGCTCTAAATGAGATCAGCCTTTTTGACAGTGCGAGTTATATGGTCTCGTTTTGGCAACATTTTACATGAAAATGTTTTTGGTGGCCTCTTATTAATAATAAATAAGCATGCATGTTTACCTAAGGGTAAACAGAATAAGTTCCTTTCGCATTTGTGATTATACACATTTAAAGTGTTTAAGGATCAAGTGAATAATGGTTATTTACGCAATTGTTGTAAGGAAATGAGGGGTATTAAAACACGAATGAGTTGTAGCAGTATCACATAAGTGTTTTAATATGTACCTAATTATAACAGTTGCATACAAGACAATATCTACACCCATGCCATGATATGAATTCTCTGTAAAAGATTGGGGGGATTTGGGGCGTTCTTAGAACTTAAAATGAATGAAAAGTTTCGGCGCTGTGGAAGTGAAGGGCGCGTGAATGACAATTTTCTTTTTTTTTAATTAATAATATCACGCATTTAGCAGTAAAAATTGAATGTCTGATGAGCAAGTCCTTAGCACGGAAGGGATTTAAAAAGCGAAAGACAGTGATTATGAAATTTATTGAAAAATCCATTACAACACCCAACAGTATTATAATACGTATTGTTTTTTTTTAATTTTGACATTGGATATTTTAATGTTGGCAATAAGTTGTTTCAGAATCTTTACTAGAGGGTTTAAATCATCTACCCTCAGTAGATAAAATAATTATATTTACTTGATCGAATTTTAAATTAATTAAATTGATCTTTACCAAAACGAGTCCCTCAGATTTGTTGTTTATGTTGTAAAAGGGTAAATAGCAGGTTTTAGAAATAGTGCAAAATTAACCCAAGTTTACTAACGGCGGCTTCAATTACATACTTACCTACTAAGGTACGTTCATTGCGCGTGTCTAGGTAGGGATCAAGTATGATCCCTCGCTAGACACTTAATGTATTTATTAGTGGTGTATTTAAACTTCAATGAAACTGATAGTGCTGTATCATCCAAACCACTTGACTCATAGTTTAAGTACGCACACGTGGATCGGCAACACTTCAAATAACCATAAAGCTTCAAGTTTTCACAATGAAAAGGGATGATGACGGACAAAATTTAAAGAAATTTCTATTTAGTCCGCTAGAAAAAAAAATTACAAAGATCAAGCACGGCAGTCTGGGAGAAAATTTGTACCAAGGCGTGACGTCATGTGAAATTTCGAATCAATATGATCTCAGTAATGTTCTGGTTATGCGAATAAACAAAAACTACGCGTCCAAATACTTTTTGATTATCTATCGGATAGACGAAGTAAAAAAGTTAGTCATCATCTGTTATCAATCTTATCTGACGCATCAGAAAGCTCAAAATCAATTGGACTAATTTTACTGCTTTCGATAACTCAACCTTCTGCTGACTGCACGATTGTAGAACAAGCACCTAAAACAGGTTGTTAAGGCGATATCTAAGGGATTCGTATTACGTACGTGAATCCCGTCTAATCCTAAGCCGATACATAAGTCGTCACATGATAGCATACGTCACGAAAACCCAAGTGATTAAATAATGTTTGTTGCCTTTGCAAGTAACCTGATAGTCTATGTATTGATAGCTATCCATTGGTGAATCATCGAGTGGATGGGTGGGGTTTTCTAGATTCTGTTAATCTCAGATTAATGTCACATCAGATGAAACTATTTAATGCAGTTCTTGCTAAACATAACATTAAATCAAAAAAAATAAAAATAAAATGGGAAATTAAAATTAAACCTTATCCTTCTAAAAACGTTCCAAACACAGAAACAATGTCAGTAGTAAAATTGAGCTAGAGAAAAAAAAACAACCAAATAATATAAAAATATATAATGCATAATAATATAACATTTTAATGCACATTCAACGACACTTATGTCAATTTTCACTTAAAAACAATTCTATTAATTTAAAATCACAATAAGTTTCTTCACACTCAAAGTCAGGTACATGTTTTCATTCTTACATTTCACTCTGTTAAGTATATATGATTAATTAGATAACAAAATACTTCATTTATTAAAATTATATAATATGTTTGTACGAGATAATTTAACCTAAACAATTTAAATGCAATTATAGAATGCTCCCACTAAGAATGTGTACTTTGATTTTTCAAATCTGCTAATATTTTAAAATGTAAAAATAATATTTCAAATTTTCAGTATCACAAGTCATTGCATCAAAGATAGCTCCATTAAAAAACTTACATCATAAGAAAATATAATTGTAATACAAATTGACTCAAAAACCATATAATACTAATAAGTAGTATTAAGCCGCAATTACATTTGATTGTTAGTCCGTATTTGGTGCACGAAATTCGAGTAATGTCACTCGAATTCGGGCACCAGAAGCAATGAGGGTTTTCTGAAATGACGGGCACTGGTGGCAGTACTGAGACGAAAGGTCTACTCATCCGTCAAATCGCATATGTTCTCATAGTCTATGGATCTGGTCTATGGAGTTCGCGCCAAAAACTTCATACAAAAGACCTCACGTCACAGTGGCGCCAACTGGCGAGGTAAATTTTCACAAACACCCTCATATTTACACTGAACACGGGCTGAAAGACGGTGTCGAGTAAACAAAAGGAAATGTACCCGAATACGGGCGTACTCGACTCCGTTCATTTACACATATATTGGTTTACCCGAATTCCATTGGCACTCGTATTAGGGCTAATGACCAAATGTAAACGCACCATTACTACAAAATACCTAGCTTAAATAATAGCAAATAATAATATATGGCATTTAACTGTTGCTCAAGGTAAAGTTTTAATTGATAAAAAAATGGAAATTAATGTACTGATATCGAAACATAAAATATATTCCTATTGATAAATATGATCATAAAGTTAATTCAATCGTTTATTTAAAATCTATTGTGCATCTTTGTGCTTATGTGAATTATTTAGTTCACTCTTAAATGTGCTTGACTATTATACTGACCCCTAAGACTTTATAGAGACCACTGAGAACTGAAACAAAAATAATTATGAAAATGAATGAACATAACAAATTGGGGAAATAATACCGGGTAATTTGATGACAAATTAATTTTGGAAAAATAATGATGGGCAGTTGGTTGATTACATGCGAGAGAATAAAATGATTCCTTGCAGTTGCCGAAATCTAATCGCATAGTCGGCATTGCCCGCGACCATAAAATAAAAATTCAAGTTAAAAAAAATAGTTTTAAATTTTTCAGGTCCTGCTTAAAATAAATTCGATATTAATTTGTTTCTAAATACCTATGAATATATGGCGGGTGTGAAAACCTCATGGATACCCTACAGCCGCATCATCGCCTGAGAAGGGGTTTAGCGTGATTCAGAAGCCTTTGCCGTTGGTACGTGCGGTAACGTTGTGGAGCTAATTATATTTTATTGTGATTTGCAAATAGTTTAATTTTTTAAGATTTTGTTGCAATGCAAGATTATACGCTTTAGTAACTTCATTTATGTCACTATTAATGTTTTCTTCTAAGGAATTTTCTTTAACCAAAGTTGAATGAATGTTACTCTTAAACTAACAAATCTATCTTAAACGTTATAGTTTGCCCAAAAGTTCATGAAAAGCACTACTATTATCATGAATTTTTCCAGGTTTTTCAAGACAATAGTTAAGCTTTTAGAGGGTCCGAGGACGCCTTCTCGAACAAAAATTAGCACTTTATAGTTCAATATTTCGCAAACAGATCCTTAATCAAAAACTAGTCTTAGGAACCCCTAAGTAATTCAACGATCCACAAAATAACCTTAGTTTTAGGAGACCTAAAATCCCTACAATTCCGCAAAATGAAACCAAGATTTTCAAACCCTCTAGAGCGAATCCTATCAATATGAATATCATATAATTAAAAAACAAGCATGAATTGTTAGTTTTAATTGATTTGTTATGTGCAGATTATAATCGACATGTGTTGCCAAATAGTCGTCGACTACAAACGATGCCGAATAGTCGCTTTTTCCGACTAGTCGGTCCATTTCTAGTTAGTGTATTTACCTCGGCTTGGTTCACTTACGATAGGGCCGCGCGTTCCTGTACACGTACCCGCCTTGTGTTGTGAGATGGGGATTCCCCGGGAACTAGCCGGGCTCAAAGCCGTATGAAGAGACTGCTTACTTTGGGGCTAGGCTAAGGCACCATTCATTTATTACGTAAGACTATTTTCGCTAGTTTTTGACCCCGTATCTTACTATAATAAGAAAAAAAAACAACGGGCTGCAGTCCGGGAGTGCCGGCAGAAGTGAAAACTTGAATATTAACGTTGTGCATTTTTAATAATTTGGAATGGTTAGGGAATAATTTTGCACGAATTGCTTTAATTATCAGTATAAAAGTACGATCATGTACGTGGTAGAATACAATATTTATTTATTGCGCTATCGTACACAAACATGACAATTTATATTACATCAAAAAAGTCTAGCGCACTTAGCGACATCTATCAAAAGAAATCAACTTACATGAATCACATTTAAGCGCACCTAGCGACATCTATTGTAAAAAAATGCATTTTCTTCGCAATAAAGCTGCCACGTGGACGTCCTAGATAAGAGACTAAAGAAGTTTTCACTTCAAAAAGAATAGGCCGACCCCCCCCCCCCTTCTGTTTAATAATTATTACGTAAGAATGTAAAGAAAAAATTAATACACGTTTGGGTTGTTTAAGTTTATTTTTCAAAGAAACATTTTTGATTTCAAAAGGCGCTGTTCCGTTACCATGGAGATGGAAATCGTTTACTTATACGCATCAGAGCGAACCTTGGCACACGCACGATTGTCCGCGTTTCTTGTAAGAAAAAATAAGACATGGTCAAACCTCCCCCCCCCCCACGCCCCTCTCCCCTAAATCGTCTTACGTAATAAATGAATAGTTGAGGAGCTGGCGAACAAAACTGTATAATTATATAAAATTAAATTTTAAAGGAACAGTAAAAATCTGAATGACATGCCTACAGTGAGCTTTTGGCGTGTTTTAATTTTTAATTTAGTAATTTTAACACTATTTTAGTCGGTTTGATTGACATGAGTTGGAATTCAAATTCTGCTGGCCCAAAATCTCCGGGCTGTTAAAAAAAGTAGTATATGGTCAAAACCATAGGCGTTATTATACCGTTATGTTCGCCAGATCCTCAGTTGTGAGTGTGGGAAATATTTATTTATTCATATTGAAAGGACATGGTAAAGTTCTGTATGAGCGACTGCCCTGGCAATGTATAAATACTGTACTTAGTAATATTTAATGGTAAATGGCTGAATATTTATAATTTTTATGAAAAAAGGCTCAGGAACTTTTGATAAAGTCACAATCTTGAAAATTATGAGAACTCCTACTATGTCATTACCTTAATACAGTTGATAAAAGATGTTGCCAATTATTTACAGAGTCATCAATTTCGCATTTTCTTAGAATCTTTCTTCCCATTTCTCTGATTAACTCTTCACATAGTTTTTTATAGCAAAAATAAATACAAATAATTATCGTCGGCCTGACAGAAAATCTGTCAAGTTTTATTTTGTCCATTTGCAAAAATTAAAGGATTAATTATCATACAGCCTTGTCTCAAGCCTGATCAGAACAATAAAATATGTTATTTTATGCTTTCAGTGATTTGTTATAATAAAAATTAGGGCCAAATAATATGTCATAGTTTAGAGGAGTTTAGAAATAATATTGTTTATTTCGATATAGTTACACAAATATTTCTTGTGTACATTTATCGTTCATTTATTTTGTAAAACGGAACATTTTGCTTTTTAAACAGACATGAAGTCAATTTTTATACTTTTAAATATTAGATTATTTCACAAAAGTTATACGAGAATAATAAACATGTAATAATTAATAAAAAATTGGGTTAGTGCGAAATATTTATACACGTTAAGGGCAGTTTCTTAGCCATGTCCTTTAGTTAAGATTATTTACCTCGGCTTGATACACTTGCGGTAGGGCCGCGCGTTCCTGTACACGTGCCCGCCTTGTGAGACGAGGGTTCCCCGGGAACTGGCCGGGCTCAGAGCCGTGTGAAGCGACTGCGGCGACCCCGAAGACCCCGATAGGCATCTGTCCTCATTCGTGGGCGTTACATCACCTGTATTCATACGGTCTTATTAGGCCGTATACAGAAAGAAAGCTGGAAGTCCTTACTGGTAACAGTTACATAGACGACCTGCCTGGCCGAGTGGTTTGTACGCCGGGTTTCATGGTGTTGCCGACTCGAGAGGTCCCGGATTCAAATCCCGGTGGAGGCAGATGTTTGTGTGATGAATAAGAGCATTTGTACTCCAGTCATGGATGTTTAATATGTATTTCTATAAAAATATACTTATATGTGTACAGTATATGTATCCCATAACACAAGCCTGATAGTGCTTACTTTGGGGCTAGGCTAATTGATGTGAGTGTTGTAAATATTTATTTATTGTTATTTATTATAAAGGAAGCCGATTGAAGCGTTGTTGACCATAAATTTCAAAGGGCGGTGCCAGCGCTGACCAGCCCGTCAGTCGTTAGCCCGATTGTCAGAATTTGTCGGCGATGTTCGGTGCTTATCGGCGCTGGTCCATAGAAATGCAATAAATTTTTAAAAAAAAGCTCATTACAATACTGTATCGTAAAAAGTCATTTTAATCATTATAGTACATTTTTATTTTTCATAATTATCTTTTAGGCCATGATATTAGGCTGCACGTGAAAAGAGAGGCGCACGCACTCGTATTTTAAACTAAATTTTCCGCGCTTCCCATAAAATTTCCTGCCGATCGTGTTTTGTTTTTGGGATTTCAGAAAATATGAGTGTTTTTGTGTGCACGGAGAACACATCTGAAGTGAAACTTCTTTCCTTAAATATCCTAACATTTGGCGGTGCATAAAGCATAGGGGAATGGAGCAGCACACATCACTCATGTATATATATGGTCGTGTGTGGCGCTTGTGACGCTCGTAGCGTTTCAGACTTCGCCGAGTTACCCTCTAACTTTGATGTACGTCGGAAAGAACTCCGCACTTATTCCACCTCCCACACACACACACAGGCTATATATATATATATATATAGTCATTTGACGCTCGTGACGCATTTCCGTTTCATCTTTTCCATAGGATTTTTCCATTTACACCCCGTTCGAAAAGAAGTTTCACTTCACAAAATTTATAGAAGGCAGTAATAAGCAATCCAGTACAAGTTATTACTCAAAGGAAGCTATCAATTCTTATTACAACTACAAATTTAAATATTGTTTTTTTTTACATGATTGTCTTTTTTTTGTGTCACTAAACAGGCCCTGCCAGAATAACAGCGCTGGTGCGACATAATGACGCATCAGCTAATGCTGAGGCAGGGTCCTGGTTAGCCCTGAGATTTTGAATTTGTATCTATAAATCTGTAAATGAGGGTTAATAAAATATATTACATTCTATTCTATTTATAAGAAATATAAGTATAGTATTTGACCGGTAAGACTGCCGACGGGCGTGTGCCTCGTGAGATCAACGCTGCTGCCCCACGGGCTGAGCGCGCCCAAAGGACTGGACAGGCCCGCCGTCACCAGCGTGTCGTCTTCGTCCTCGGAGCCTACGGCAATATTACCAAAGTCACCATCACCATCACTTCTGAATATTATTGAGGTTCTTCTGTCCAGGACCCGATCTAGAAATTTTGCCGCCCTTTTGTGACGTATATCTGGGCAAATGCTCGGCTTGTTGTATATATGGCAAAAAGTCACTATAAAAAACATAATTAAAATAATTTTAACGTGCGAAAGCAATAAAGCGCCGTTGTTTAGATTTACTTTGTAATTAATGATAGAAAGAGACAAGAAATTTTAAATAACGCCCGTAGTGGTTCAAAATATGTATGTCTCCAAATAGGGAATATGCATGTTATTCAAATAAGGCTGTTTTGTTTCTCATAGTTTACTATATTATACATCTTTGTAGTCTATAACGTGGTTCGTGACTGTTCTTATTTCCGAATCTGGGATTTGGGATTGCGATCCACACAGGGGAAACCCTGTGTGGATCGCAATCCCAAATCCCAGATGGATAATCTAATCGAAGCAGTTTAATACAAAATGTATGGTAAGCTGATTTAAGCGTTACGATGCGACCCGCCTAGTGGAACGTAAACTTTGTTGCTATGGACTATGACGTCACATGTGTTCCAAAATAGCGAGTGTTTAAAATGCCCATGCAAGGTGGCTGCGTTTAACATTTTTTAGACATATAACACCTTCTACACTCAGCGTCAAAAAATCGCACCTCCGCGAAAATAACTTCGAAGCGTAATTAACCCTTAAATACGGTAGTGTGATGTCGCTCGGTAACACTAGGTTTTAGGTTAGTTTAAAGAACCTTTTTTGTATTTTTTTGTGTAATTAATCTGATTTTAATTAAGGATTTTTATTGTTTATTAAAATTTATTGTTTTTTGCACTGTTCCAATAAAAATAAAAATTAATTGAATTGTTTATTTAATGGGCTTTCAAATGACACCAATATTGGTGGGGGTAAATGCGTGTGTTAAGGGTTATAATAACGCTTGAAAGTTATTTTCGCAGAGGTGCAATTTTTTTGACGTTTAATATTTTTAACTCTATTATGGGGATGTAAAATACTAAATAAAACTATAAAAAACATCATGCATTATTCCCTATTCAAACAACTACTAGATTTAGATAAGTATTTTTTTTAATATTCATTCCTAAACAAGGTACCTAATGCAAACTGAGAAAATCAAAAACCTCTAGATTAACTTATGAAACAGGCTTAAGTTAACTGTTCAAAATTTATTCACTAAACTTACCGTCAAATACATCAAAGAAGTTTTCTTTAGAGTCATTCTGCGACGTTGTTGATTTTTTCTTTCTTTTGCTCTGAAATGTGCAACCAATTACAAAATCCGTATCTCACCATTTTAAACTACTTAATATTAAGAAAATAATCTGATGTCTTAATCTAATAATTTCATCATTGTTTCAGGCTGACTACAACATATTCGACATCTCTAATTAGCAAACTATAGTCATTACGTGTTAAGAATAAAAATATTATTGCCATTCCGGCACTTACTTGGCTATTCGTATTTGCTATTTGTAAACAACACAACGGTCTCTCCCTAACAAGCTTTATAAGGAATGCAAGGGAGACACTGTTGTCAAGTTTATAAAAACAAGCATGAATAGCAAAGTGAAGTGCATAACAGTATCGAAATGTTTTTTATCGAAGTAAGGTTTCTCAAATTTTATTTCAAAATAAGATTGTTCGATTTAATTTAAAGTTACCTTTGTGAGTTCTTCGGCGACAGACATCTCGAGTTCGTGATGTGTTCGAGCAAGAGCCGCTAACGCCTCTTCGAGAACTCGATTCCTTTCGATCTATATGGACAAAATTTATATTTAATACAATTTAATACAACATTGAATACAGGACCTTTGATTTACATACACGCCTAGATAGCGATCCAAATAAACCACTAATCTAATGACTCTAATGTCTGATTGTTTGAAAACAGTTAATATGTGCGTGTGTAGCGACAAGATTTTTTTTATTATTGTGGGTAAACAAACAATGATACAATCTTGCTACATTATAAACTATTACTACCAGTGTACTAATTGCAGGGAATCCTTCATTTTGTCGCAATTCCTTTCAACGATTTGCATTACCCATAAAACGAATCGCAGATTTTTTTTCAATATTAAAAAACCCTAGAATTAGGTTACATCGCATTTCGTTCCCTCGAATATTTATTAACTACAAACACAGTTCATCGTTATTTCTTTTCATGTTTTATCCGAATGTTCATCATGTTCATCGGCCGGCGAATCGCCAGAAAATCATTTTTTTTAAAAGAGACCTTTTCTACAAATAAAATCTAGTAATATATTATATTGGGCCCTGGAAGTACAGTTTAACCGCCAGCACGAGTATAATTATTAAGCTGTAGTAGGTAGGTAAAAAAATATAGAACTGACCGCAACACAATTTATCGTCAACAGGCGAATGCATCATTCGATGAAACGTTACTGCGATAAAAATTGTTACGTGAAAAAGTATTATGAATTTCGATTCATAATTATGTTTTAATGAATAGTTTTATCGATAACTTAATACTTTTGTTAAACACAAAAATTTATTAATCACCAGTACTATTAATAACTAAAATAATTTCGATACTCATAATCGATTAAACAATGTTCTAGCAAAAAATCGATTATAGCTTTAAATAGAACGAGTTATGTGATAGGGTGTCACTATTTTTACTTCGAATGATCTGTCAAAAAGATAATAATAGAATGGACAGACTATAATTTACTTCTTAGCCTATTATACATAAATATAATATTTAATACAATTTCCGATTTATTTATTTAAGGGTCTCTAGTACTTTTTTCTTTAAACGTAGTAACAGGGATCGCAAAAATATCAATTCCATTAAATTTGTCGTTGTAAGTATGGGCAAGCCGATACAAGGGGAAGTTGAAGCAAGCTTATGTACCATATGTAGTAGATATTTTTTGGGTTAATACGGTATCCAGGCGTGTGTATTCTTTCTTGCAATCCTTTTTGTTTTTATATGTCAATTCAATTCAATTCAATATATTTATTGATGTCGACCTTCCATTGTGAACATTATATGTTCCGTACACTCACCTCTCGTTGTAAGCGTGCGTTGTCATGATCTCTCGCTTGTGCCACCAATGCGGCACAATGCTTCAACGCGGACAACGCCTCCCCTCCCGTGCCGCACGCGTGTTGGAACCTCTATATTGATAAAAGATCAGGGTCAAAGACCTCTCATTATAACTTTCTTTTATGTTTAAAGGTGTTTGAGGAGCTCGATGGCGCAAGCGGTTAGCGCGTTCGGCTGCGATCGTTGAAGTTAAGCAACTTTCGCAGTGGTCGGTCATTGGATGGGTGGCCAAAAATTTCCTCCCTGCTTCGGAAGGCACGTTAAGCCGTTGGTCCCGGCTGCATCTGCAGTCGTTAGCACCCACCAATCCGCACTGGGCCCGCGTGGTGGGTCATGGCCCAATCGCCCAATTCCATCCATAGGAAAGGCCTGTGCCCCAGCAGTGGGGACATTAACAGGCTAATGATGATGAATGATGATGTTTAAAGGGTGGCAAACAAGCGTATGGCCCTCCAGACAGTCAGCGGCCACCATAGCCTATAGACGCTTGCGATACCAAAAATATCACGAGAGTGGGAGAGAGAGATAGGGCATGATAGATTCTGGGTAAGTAAATTGTGCCACAAGTACGGCACAATGTTTCAACGCGGACAACGTCCCCCCACGACAAACGGCTAACTAGAGCCGAGGTCAGAGACGCCCTCTAGTTGAGCCGACCCCCTCAGGTTCGACTGGTCTGGAGGCTCCAGACGGAGAGGAGACTCCCCCCGTGGGGAGACGCCATCCAACTGGAATACCTCCAGAGGCCAATTCTCGGCTTGAGGTCCCCTTAGGATCTCGCCGTCCCCAAACCCCGGTGATGCTGTAAAGGTCATCTGCGACCAACAGCATACACACTCAAAAAAAAAATGGGTGCGTGTACTTATGTAGGCGCGTGAGAAGTTATCCTTCTTTGGCATCGTTTAAAATTAGTTTTTAATTGCATGCAAATAATTAATTACAATAAATTAATAAAAAGTCTGGAAAAGGACACAGTCAATAAAGTTCAGTTTTAATTTGAAAAAATAAATAAATAATCAAAATATTCAATTAAAATCGCTACTGAATATAATTTATTAGAACATATGTGATTTGCACTTGTATGAAACTCAAACACGAATTCCGAATATACAAACTAGAAACATGTGGATAAATATTATAAATATGAATACCTATAACTGTTACTTTATTACAAAAAATAAAGATGTGGTTTTTGGTTCTACTACACCAATGGTCAAGAGATGGCGCTGTAGTCTCCTGAATCGCGCTTTGGTTTCGTTGTTCCAGATTAATAAATACTTTTGATACCTATTATAAATATGAATACCTATAACTGTTACTTTATTACAAAAAATAAAGATGTGGTTTTTGGTTCTACTACACCAATGGTCAAGAGATGGCGCTGTAGTCTCCTGAATCGCGCTTTAGTTCCGTTGTTCCAGATTAATAAATACTTTTGATAGGCCTTCACAATGCAGTCGTTAGCACCCACTAAATAGAGATTCTATTTCAATTTTGTTGGTAGATTTTCTTAATGTGCGGTAAACACGAAAGTAACGCATGAAGTTGGTCGCTAAAGCGACATCTTAAAATTTCACTCTCATCATTTTTTCATAACGCGCCTAAAGAAGTATAACTTCAAAAAAAAACGGACAACGCCTCCCCTCCCGTGCCACACGCGTGTTGGAACCTTTATAAAGACCAACAATATTAAATACCCTAGATACACCAACACGAACAAATTCGTGGCCGAAACCTGTCCAAAAGGCAGAAACAAATAACATTGAACGATCCACGGAACTCCTTAAGATGATCGCGTAGTCAGAAACAATATAAGGCATTATTTAAACATTGAAAGTCACCTTTAATGCACACTGTAAAAGGTCTTAACTAAAATGCATGCGTCAAAGAGACACGACAGTTCAAAATGCAAGCTAGTAAAATTTTACTATTTATTGCTATATGCGGAAGAATATAGACCTTATTTCTTTGTCCGTATGCACAATTCTGAATATGCTGTTAGCAAAATAGCACTTACGGATCGCGAGGAAAAGAGACGGCAATATTACCAAGCATACATTTGAATATCACAATTTTTTTCGTGTTGATTGCCACGATTTTATTAGTGTTGTTGTATCTAGGGTATTTAATACCGTTGCAGTAGACAGCTACTGCATCTGTATACTCGCCTTCGGAAGTCAATCTAGCCATCGTTATAACAAATGAAACAATAAAATAAGAGAATAATTCACCCGGCACAAACAGCAATAACAGTAAATCATATGATGCGGTCACACAATGCAAGTAGCCGTACTACAGTAACTTGACTAGGCCAACTTGCACTGTGTTACCAAGCCTTAAAACTCAAAATCCTATAACAAAAGGTAATATAATCCTAATTTGTTTAAAACATACCATATAAGCGGAGTGGTGCAGCGAGTTGCCTACGTTGACGCTCTTGTCTAACGCAGCGAGTATGGCAGAACATTCCCGCAGCTGAGTCTCAAGCAACGCGAGACTGTTGGTTGCCGCAGTTAGTGCGTCTTGCATTGAGCCTAGATAAAAGAGGTGTTTATAATTACATGTTAATCTGATTCTTAGCAAGAGGGATATTATATAGACGGTGTGGCGGCTAAATCTACATGCCCCACATATAATCAACGTGGAGGAAATAATCACTCGCTACCTCAAGAGATGGCGCTTCCTGCGATGTGATCACAATAGAATGGAAGCCTACATCGCGCAAGTGAAAATCGGAGGCTAACACTCCATATATACGAAGCCCGACCAACATCAGTCGGGCCGCGGCCCCCGAGCTACCATCACCCAGCTCGGAGGAAGATCCTTCCACAACGGTATCATAGTAGCGAGATGCTCGATGGCGCAATTAGTTAGCGCTTCGGGTCGGCTGCGATCGCTGAGGTTAAGCAACTTTCGCAGTGGTTGGTCATTAGATGGGTGACCAAAAAATTACTATTTTGAGCACTTCCGTGCTGCGGAAGGCATGTTATGCAGTTAGTCCTGGCTGCATCTGCAGTCTTAGCAACCACCAATCCGCATTGGGCCCGCGTGGTGGGTCATGGCCCAATCTCCCTTTTCCTTTCATAGGGAAGGCCTGTGCCCCAGCAGTGAGGACATTAATAAGCTGATAATGATGATGATCATATAGACGATTTTACATTTCCGTACCCTACCAAGGGTGGTAACGTTACACTATTATTACCAAGCTTCCGCTCTCCGTCTGTCTGTCAACGGATTCTTACTTATGAACAGTAATAGTTTGACATTTTCTTTCGATGCATTCATGATTCAATATTTAAAGAAAACTATGGCTGCATGGATGTTCGTTCAACTTTATATTTAACTTTCCTAGTAGACGAGAAAATAAAATTAAAAAAATGCTATATTGCATTTTTATTTTTCTGAATTATATTTTCCATTGGGGATGTTGATGATACGATATGACAGATGCAAAAAACACAATAATATTTCGATGATAGTTGTAAAATATTTAGATATTTATAAGTACTCACAATAGGTTTTTTTATTAGACGCGCTAAGAGCTAAAACGACCATTATGTTGCTTTTTAACAACTTGATTTCGTATAGTATAGAAAAATAAATACAAATAATTTGTTATCGTCGGCCTGACAGGACAGCTGTGAAGTTTTATTTGTCCATTAGCAAAAATTAAAGGATTAATTATCATACAGCCTTATCTCAAGCCTGAACAGAATAATAAAATCTATTATTTTAGGCCTTCAGTGATTTGTTAATATAAAAATTAGGGCTAAATATGTCATAGTTTGAGGGAGTTTAGAAATAATATTGTTTGTTTCGATATACTTACACAAATATTTTTTGTGTACGTTTATTATTCATTTATTTTTTAAAACGGAACATTTTGCTTTTGAAGCAGACATGAAGTCAATTTTTATACTTTTAAATATTTGATTATTTCACAAAAGTTGTATGATATGAGAAAAAAATATTGTAAAGTTACGGGCTAGCGCGAAATATTTATACACGTTAAGGGCAGTTTCTTAGCCATGTCCTTTAAACCATAAATTCTATGCGATCCCTTGAAGCGTGAAAAAATTTCGAAGTTTAACGTAAAAAAGAGATACGATCCGTTTATATTGCGAACCTTCAAATGAGTACGGAACCCTCGGTTAGTACGACTCAGATTACAACACAAGTGGAGTTTAAATCTTCGTTTCAGACAAAAACACAAGGGATTGACCTAAGGGTTTGCTCTCGTTCTGTGGCCTCTCTTGCCGAGTCTGGGGTCGTGGCCAGAGCACGCTATGTTCTCGTTGACTGCCGTGATCTAAGACTGCAAGGTCAAAGACAGCTATATTAAAGTACGATGGCACTCACCTAACGGTTTGCACTCGTCCTCCAGATCCTCTGTGGCCTCTCTTGCCGAGTCTGGGGTCGCGCCCGCCCACAAGTAGTGGCCAGAGTACGCGATGTGCTCGTTGAACGCCGTGATCCAAGACTGCAAGTTTGTTTACTTTTAACTATAATCAGGGCCAGATTTGGGGATGCGGAGGCCCCTATCGCAGTCGTATTTAGCACTACGATCACAACAATATAAAAATTAATCAATTACGAGGACCGAGCAACAATGAGATTTCATACAATATTTCTGTGCATTGTTATGGTTCTAAGCAAAAACTACATCCTTTCTGATCGGTTTATAGTATGATTAATGATAATATTACTGCGTGGTTTCAAGAAAAAGCTTATTTATGACTTCATAAAATTAGTTCCGATGTCGGCCACGCGCCGCAAGATCTTAGTGGCGCTAGATGGGCGCGTTACCTGCCTGCAGTCGGGCAGGTCAACGTCTGTCACAAATATTTTATATTAAATAGGTTTATAGTAAGTACTAAAACAAAATTAGCTTCAAAGGCGTTAAATTAACAAACATTGATTAAATACCTGACGAAAAATCGACATTTTAAATACTATAAATATTTATTTCGCATTTGTTCACGGAGCTCAGCTACATATTGACTTTTCAACGGCCCGCGAGAGACTGCGAACCAAGAAGTGCTCGAGTCGTGTTCAAGCACTTCTTGATAGGGACACATTTTGAGCGCACGTGGTGTATCTAGGGTATTTAATATCGTTGGCGTTACCTGTCCGCAAGCGGGCAGGCGAACATGTGTGTGTGTGTCTGTGTGTGCGTGTGTGTGTCTCTGTGTCTGTGTGTGTCTCTGTATCTGTGTGTGCGTGTGTGTCTATGTGCCTGTGTGTGCATGTGTGTGTCTCTGTGACTGTGTGTGCATGTGTGTCTCTGTGTCTGCGTGTGCTTTTGAGTGTTTCTGTGTCTGTGCCTGCGTGTGTGTGTCTCTGTGTCTGTGTGGTGCGTGTGTGTGTCTCTGTGTCTGTGTGTGCATGTTTGTGTCTCTGTGCCTGCGTATGTGTGTGCGTGTGTGTGTCTCTGTGCCTGTGTGTGCGTGTGTGTCTCAGTGCCTGTGTGTGTGTCTCTGTGTCTGTGTGTGCGTATGTGTGTCTGCGTACCTATGTGTGCGTCTGTGTGTCTCTGTGTCTGTGTGTGTGACTGTCTGTTTGTATGCGGGCGCGTTACCTGCCTGCAGGCGGGCAGGTCGGGCGCGCGCGCACACAGGCGGTGCGCGTCGCCGTCGCTGAGCCGCAGCAGCAGCAGCGCGGGCTCCGCGCCGGGCGCGCTCACCGCCGCACCATCCAGGTAGTGCCGGCTGCGGCACCGACCACCGCGCGCCGCCTCCGCCCGCGAACCGTAGTATAGAAGCACGCCGCGTTGCAGCACCGCCTGTTATATAACTTTAGATAGCTGCAAAGTTCTTTAGAATAACGACATTGAAGGGACCATATAACTTCGGACGTTGTATCCGATAGTTGTTATAGGCAATATTCACAAGTAGTCATATTATTTTGACTAGGGATGTAACGGAACTTCGCCTCCGCTTCCGTTACTGCGGAAGTTCCGCATGTAATCGTACCTTCGCTTCCGCCTCCGCATCCGTACAATTTTTGCGGAGTTGTAACGGAGGTTTATTTACGTAATCATAAAGCAATAACGCGCGAGCGACGTTTGACGCTGACTGCCGTCCACCCGCGTTTTTCGCGCGAAATGGTCAAGATTCAACAAGTGCGCGGCAGGAACACGGTTGGGGTGGGGGCGGGCGTTTGTCATTTGTCAAATGATACACGACAGGAATCAACCTGTCGAATTGTTTGTACGAGTTGGACGTTACGAAGTTTTACCGATGTAAAATACCTAATTCTAATTGAATCGCGACTGTTTTAAGTGATTTAGTGCAAAATAATTATTCTGCTTAATTAAGTTACATGATGAAGCCGAAAACAAGTGAGATTTGGCAGTTTTTTTGTAGAAATAGATAATAATTTTGCGAAATGTAAAACCTGTGGGAAAAATTATTCAAGGAAAGGTCGGACGACATCACTTAGAGGGCATTTGATGTCTATGCATGAAGAAAAATACGAAGAACTGTGTGGAGCAGAAAAAGAACAGGAGAAATCAAAACAGTCTACCTCCGTTATACCATTACAACAAGCAAAAAGGCAGCTGTCCTTAGAAGAATTCAAAAAAAAATCTGGGATACATCACATCCCAACCCAACACATTACCTCTCCTTAATTTTGATTACTAGAAGGTAATGTTTGTTTATATGTTTACTTAAATGTACGTATTTGAAATAAATACTTTGTACTTCTAATAGTTTTGATGAACCATAAATTACTATTCTTTCTAAATCCACTTTCACCTCCGTCTCCGCCTCCGTTAACCTCCGCATCCGCGGAAGTGAAACTCATCACCTCCGCATCGGCCTCCGTATTGGGGCACGTACCCAAATATGAATGTTTAATGTTTCGGGAATGCAACTGTTCAGACGAAGGTATGTAAAAAATGTAGACCGTTCGTATTGAATATGTTTATTGCACTAAAATAATAATATTTCTAAATATTGAGGCGCGCTACGCAGTTGCGCACGGTCATCAAAATAATTAGGTTAAATATAAAATACGTAATGTACTGCTCGTACATGCTCCCGACTTAACAAAAAAGGAAAAAATGCATTAAAAAATGTATATAAAGGTAAAAATGTAAATGTAAAAGCAATAGCTATAAATAAAGTTCAAAAAAGCATTTTTTCTTCTTAAATCTAAGTTTATATAGGAGACGTCGCCTTGTCTTGCATCTTCTTCATAAAGATAACAACTGGTTCCGATTCCGATGCAGTGTTGACATCCTGCCGCTTGACGTTTGTTCGTGGTAAGGATATCGACCGGCGGAGAGTCTGCTGTCGTCGAGGGGCTGGCTCTGGTTCCGCTTGTGAATCCGTGTTTTCTACGACGACCACACGTTGTTGCTGACGTCTTCTGAATCTTCGTACGCTCCAAATACATAGAAGAATCCCAATAATAAGGATGATAATACCGTATGTGGCATAATGTTGGGTGTCGTGGCTACCAATTTGGCTGGTTACAGAATTTTGTACATCCTTAACGGCGTCGATCTTCCTTTTTAACGCACTCAACGATTCCTCGTGGTTTTCAGGGAAAAATGTTTCGTTGAACTCGGTTATCATTTGATTAACCTCAGATTCTTCCGGTATATCCATTAGTTGTTCTCCATTTCTCTTCATTTCACTTTTAAAATTGTTTTGCGAATGAATGATTACGTTGTTTCCTTTCAAAACACAACCTTGTGACAACGTTATGACGCCCGTGTGACGTAATGTCTGTGTCGTTGTCCCATCTGGGCAAAATATGCGTGCGCTGCATTCTTTGCAACAGGAGTAGAGCCAGGCGCCCCGGCCATGTAACTGGATCCACTCGTGCCGACACTCTGTTATCGCTATACGGCAATTTGATATTGCTCTATTATTTATTATTTGAGCTTCACAAATTGACGCCGCCTTTATATCGTAGATAGGCAGGTTTAATGAGCAAATTAATTGTTTCTCATTTAAATGTACACATGACCGCATATCATCAGAGTTTAATGTTATTAATAAATCCTTTCTTATGTTGACTGCCATGTACTCTGAAGTTGGGATGATAGACTTCATTGTGTTACCATTTATTTTATGTATAGGTATAATCCGATTCAATTCGTACAATTCATTGGATATAATCGGCAGTTTCACTTCTATTATAAGGAATTTGTCCGTAACTCTGACGTTTACTTGTGATATTTTGTACATGTTTCGAATACAGTCATGTGTGTTTAAACATGGTAAGGATAAGTCGCGTGGCAGGTGCCCCGATATGATATTAAGTTGATCCTGGAACTCTCCCGGGGTTAAAAGATGAGTGTCCACTCGACCATTTCTCACTTCTGTCACCAAGTTCAGTAATTGTTGTTGTACTCTGTATATATTCGAAATAATAACATTTATAGCCAGCGACGTAGCGGTGATGTATGAAAAGTGATTCTGATCTTTCGTTATCTGATTTTCTCTCTCTTTAAGGTGTTCATTGATGATATGTAGCTGCTTGTTCATAACTTCTTCATTTCTCTTCAGCAGATTGTATTCTCCTTCTATAATGGATGTGTGTTCTTTGTACAAGCTCAGGAGGTGATTTTCATTATTTTGAATGTATTTGATGTCCTTTCTGTATTTGTCAGCAAAACGTTCGTCAAGTACACCAAATAAAGAGTTTGCAACATAACCAACTCCGTCAATGAGTCCTCTCTTCACACGTCTTCCATGTTCAGATCGGAGAATGTCATTAAAATGTTTCAGCTCCTTGATTTCATGTTCAAACTGTGCTGCTATGGTGCAAAATGCTGTGTGTCCTTGACATAGCTGGTTTAGGTGATTTATATACTTTTCAATACTGCTTAGTATAAGCCAATATGTTGTCATATTGTAGTATATAACTAGGTTCCAGTGATCTTGTGCAACCTGCATGTCTGATATTTTATCAAAATAAATCAGTTTGGCAGGGTTAAGTGTAGTTATGTTGGTCAATTGTTGTGCAGATGGCGATATACACGCTAGCAGTAGCCACATAAGTGTCAGAAATAAACTGTTCTTTGTAGCAGTTCTTAGTCGCTTCGATTTTACTGGAGTCGAAGTCGAAGTAGGAGTTACGTCAGCTGCTTGTTTGTTGGCATTATTATCAGGCTCTAGTAGTAAGCGTGATAACTTTGTGACGGGCCGCTTTGTTGTTGAGCCATTTTTTGTCTTCAACGACACAACTCGTACGCAGCCATCTGTACCTGCATGCGTTTCTATCACTCGAGCCAACGGCCATCTAGCAGGTGGAATTTGATCTTCTCTAATCAGTACCACGTCACCGATTTCCAGGTTTTTTGTAGGGTTGCACCATTTGTTACGTGTTTGTAATGTGGTTAGGTATTCATTTGACCAAGTTTTCCAGAAGTCCTTGAACATTTTGTCTGTAAGTTGCCATCGAGTATGAATGTTGCTTGGATGTAGGTCCGCTGATATAGGTGGGCCAAGAATGGGACCACCAACCAAAAAGTGTCCTGGAGTCAGACAATCCAGGTCATCTATGTCATCTGTCACAGCGATCAAAGGTCTTGAATTGAGGCAGGCTTCAATCTGAGCTAACAATGTTATAAATTCTTCAAACGTCAGCTTTTGTTCGCCGAGAACCCTTCGCAAATGGTGCTTCATACTTTTCACAGCAGATTCCCATAGCCCGCCAGCCGACGGCCACGCTGGAGCATTGAAATGCCATTGGATTCCAAGGTTTGTTGCTGATTCGATGAGATCTATGTTAATGTAATACTGTAAGGCTTCTTTGTATTCACGCTTCAGTATCTTGGCTGCTCCCACGAAGTTGGTTCCGTTGTCGCTATACATATGCTTGGGGGATCCTCTTCGAGCACATAGTCGCTTCAAGGCCGCCAGGAATGATGTGGTTGTCATGTCAGAAACTAATTCCAAATGAACTGCTTTTGTAGCTAAGCAGACGAAAATAGCTATGTAGCCCTTTGTAGTTTTAATTCCACGGCCCTTATTTGCCTTCACTTCCACTTGTCCTGTGAAATCAACACCAGTGTGAGTAAAGGGTCGTGAAGGTGTCACTCGTGGTTTAGGTAATTCCGCCATAAGCTGGTTATTTGTGGTAGCTTTGAAGCGACGACAACGGGTACACTTCAAAATGTGCTCTTTGACTGTTCTTATACCTCGCAGTATCCAATAGTGATTTCGTAAATATGTTAGGTATTGTTAGTCTCATACCGCCGTGCAAAGTAATCTTGTGTGCTTCGTCAATCAGTAAGCTTGTAAGTCTGCTTTTGTTTGGTAAAACCATTGGGTGCTTTTTTGATTCAGCCAATTCAGATTGTTGAAGCCCACTCGAATAATACCATGTGAGTCTAAATATGGGTATAAGTTCAGAAGTCTGCTCGATGAACTTATCTTTGCGCTTCTTCCCAATTGCTCCACTTCGTTAGAAAAATGTTTGTTTTGCTCATGTTTTATCAATAAGCGTCGAGCATTGTTTAATTCATGTAATTGTAAGTATGTCGTAAGCCGTTCATTGTTATTACGTCGAGCTCTATTAATGAAACGTGATATCCACGCTAGTACGCGTATGACTCGTCCCATAGAGCTATGTGCGTTTAGAAGTGTATCGATCAATGAAGTTTCTGTCTGAATCACATATATTTGTTTACGTTTTGATTCTTCGGTTGGGGTGTCATAAGTTTGTAACTGGGAGATCGGTATCTGTTCTTTCAGCCACGCAGGTCCTTCCCACCACAAAATATGTGACTTCAACTGAGATGGTAATAGACCCCTGGATGCA